GTATCGAGGGTGAGGAGTCGTTCATTGTGCCGGGACCTGAAGGGCTCGGTCAGCAGATGCTGGGACCGCAGAGGCCCGGTCACCACTTCATACGGTCACTCCACTGGTTTCGAGAGGATCGCTCTGCAACCGAGAAACTTCCAGTCTAGTCCCTTCAGAGCTTAAATACGAAAATATTCCCAGACGTGAAAAGAAAAAGGAACCCCCTGTAAGTGGTGACAGACGTGTCCCGTGACCGTGAACACTCGGGTGGTGATGAGCCGGCGTTTTACTGGCAGCAGCAAGAAGGCAGCACCGCTCACGAAAACACGCCCGATGCTCACTCCGCGCTCACACGGCAGCAGGACAGAGCCTGGTCCCTGTTCAGGATATGTCCCGTCTGTTCTCACAGCCTGTCCCGGGGACGTGCGGCAAGCGCTGTCTCCACTTTTATTCCTAAAGTAGATTGTGCGGCAGCCTGGCCGACGGTCATTCCAGGCCCACGAACGCGTTCCTCTTCACTCATGGGTAACCGAGTTCGCATTTGAGGTGCCCAATGCTGTCTATGGGTGATTTGGCTTAAAAAATAAAAAATCCTATTGCTCCGGCCGGTGTGGCTCAGGGGATGGAGCCTCAGCCTGCGGCTTGAAGGGTCCCGGGTTCGATTCCGGTCAAGGGCTTGTACCTCGGTTGCAGACTCCTCCCTGGCCCCGGCCCTGGTCTGGGTGCCTGCAGGAGGCAACCAATCAATGTGTTTCTCTCACATCCATGTTTCTCTGTCTTTCCCTCTCTCTTCCACTCTCTCTAGAAATCCATGGGAAAATATCCTCGGGTGAGGCTTAACGAGAGAGAGAGAGAGAGAGAGAGAGAGAGAGACAGACAGAGAGAGAGCCCTAACTGTGCTCTGATGTCTTCAGGGCCCGTGGATCCGTCTGTCACCAAAGGGCTCCCGGAACCTCAGAGGCAGGCTGGCTGGCCTCGGCTTCCCGAATCCTGTACCGAGAGCCGCAGACTAAAATGAGACCATGGTCACTAAAGCCGTGCTGAGATTTAAAAGTGCTTTAGTGGCATTGAGCATAATAAACCAAAGGACAGAGATGAAAACGTTTTCATTAAAGCTTTAAAGAGACTCCGCAGGGACGGGACTGAGCCGACCACGTGTCCAGGGAACCAAGGCAGCGAGCGGCTCGCGTCCGGCGTCATCATCACAAACATGCGGTCAGCTCCGGCCTCGGCTCAACATCCCAGCACGGGGGCCATCAGCGGGTCACCATGAAGTCAGTGCAAGGGCATCTCTGGCCGAAGGCGGGGCGACCTCATCTGGGCTTCCTGGGCGGCCTCCTCAAGCTGCCCCAGAAGCAGCGCTGTGAGCCGTGCGGCTGGTGTCCCTGAGCCAGAGCCAGCGGACCCTGAAACGGGCCCCAGGCTCCTGGCCCGGTTAAGTGACTGCTTCTCGCCTTACTTCCCTGCATTTCCTGAAATTTCTGAGAGTCAAGAATGATAAAATAAAGCAACTTTTAAAAATATGTATATTTATTGATCTCAGAGAGGAAGGGAGAGATAGAAACATCAATGATGAGAGAGAATCATTGATTGGCTGCCTCCTGCACGCCCCCGACTGGGGATGGAGGCCGCAACCCGGGCCTGAGCCCTGACCCAGGATCGAACTGGGACCTCCTGGTTCACAGGTGGCTCAACCGTGGGTGTGGATCACCCACATGATTTCAGGTTCCAGCAGGATGGCCCCGGGAGCCAGTAGGGACAGGACCCAAGGTGGGAACCACATCTCTTCCGCTGCCTGCACCACCTTCTCTGGCCCGTTACAGGGGAGCCCCCAGCCCACACGCTCCTTTAAAGGGGTTAAAGTCACCCGGCCAGTATTGCTCAGTGTTGCAGAGCGTTGGCCTGTGGACCGAAGGGTCCCGGGTTCGATTCTGGTCAAAGGCATGTACCTGGGCTGCAGGCTCCTCCCTGGTTGGGGCGCATGCAGGAGGCGACCAACTGATGTGTTTCTCTCAGGTTGATGTTTTCTGTCTCTCCCTCTCCCTCCCTCTCTCTAAAATCAATGGGAAAATATCCGCGGGGAGGAGTCACCAAATAACCATCAATGGGCCGCCGCCCCAGGTCCAGTGGTTGAGGCGGTGCCGGGGGGTCTGCCCAGGACTCTGCCTCCTCAGGGCTGTGCGTGGGGACAAGCGCTGGGGCAGCGCCGACTGGTTCACGGTGAATCACCCTGCACACCTCGCTGTGGAGGGGAGCACGCAGAATCAGGGGCCATGAGCACACACACTCACACGTACTCACACACACTCATACACACACTCACACACGCACACATACACACTCACACATACACGTATGCATGCAATGCACATACATGCACTCACATGCGCACACATACATACACATATGCACATACTCGCACACGTACACACTCACAAGTACACACTCATACATACATGCACATTACATGCTCACGCACATACACACGTACGCACACACACATACAGACACACTCATACACTCACACACACTCATACACACACAACCAATTTCCTGAAAGTGTCACAATTAAGACGATCACCAGCCCCTTTAACCAGGATCAGTCAGCTGTGCTCTCGCCTCCATCAGCCCCCAGGACGCCCTGATTGAGCGGATTTCCCAATTAAGCCTGTTCCAGCCGAGAAGCCTTTTTGATTAGATTCCTAATTTGCATGGAGGCTTCGAGCTCTAGGGGAAGGAACGGGGACCAAGGGCCCGTCAGCCTCTGGAATCTCCTGTGCACTCACCCTCGACGACAAGCCTCCCCTCTGCTGCAGGCGGCAGTTCCCGGCCGAAGAGGCTCTGACCTCATAAGTGAGACGGGAGCTGTTCCCCTGGAGCCACGCCTGGTGGGTCGGGGAGGGAGGGATGTGCAGGGAGGGTGTGGGGGAGGCTCCCAGAACGGACATGAGTCACCTCTGAAATCAACATTTGCAACAGGATGGGTAGCACTGGAAAGCGTTATGCTAAGCGAAATAAGGCAGTCAGAGAAAGGTAAATATCACATGATCTCACTCATTTGTGGAATATAATGAACAACATAAACTGATGAACAAAAACAGATCCAGAGACAGAGAAAAGGTAGGGGAGGGTGGGGGTAAGGAGGAGAGATCAACCAAAGGACTTGTATGCATGCAGCTAAGCCTAACCAATGGACACAGACACCAGGGGGGTGAGGGCATGAGTGTGTGTGTGTGGGGGGGGGCAATGGGAGGATAAGGACACATATGTAATACCTTAACCAATAAAGAAAAAAATAAAATACAAAATATCCTATCTAATAAAAGACAAAAAGGGTAATTGACCGTACCTTTGCTACACTTACCATCGGCTAATCAGGGTGATATGCAAATTAACTGCCAACAAAGATGGCAGCCGGCTTGCTTGCTCCAGTGATGATGGAAGCCGAGGTTCCCCACCTGCTGCAGCCTGTCTCTGAGCCCAAAAGCAACAAAGTTTCAATTATAGAAGGTAAATAAATCCCAGAATAAAAAAGAGAAAAGAAAAAAAGGAGAGGCTGGGGGCTTCAGTCACCAGCAAGCTTAGCCAGCCTGAAACCGGCCCTCAGCCCCTCACCCAGAATGGCCAGGCACCCCAGTGGGAACCCCTACCCTAAAGGGGGTGTGACCAGCCTGAAAACAGCTATCAGCCCCTCACCCAGGCTGGCCAGGCACCCAAGCGGGACCCCTACCCTGATCTGGGACACCCTTCAGGGCAAACCAGCTGGCCCCCACCCATGCACCAGGCCTCTATCCTATATAGTAAAAGGGTAATAAGCAAACTGACCCTAACAGCAGAAAGACTGGGAATGACTGGTCACTATGACACACACTGACCACCAGGGGGCAGACGCTCAATGCAGGAGCTGCCCTCTGGTGGTCAGTGCACTCCCACAGGGGGAGCTCTGCTCAGCCACAAGCCAGGCTGATGGCTGCCAGCACAGCAGTGGTGGTGGGAGCCCCTCCTGCCTCCTCACAGCACTAAGGATGTCCGACTGCAGCTTAGGTCTGCTCCCTGCTGGCAAGTGGACATCCCCCGAGGGCTGCAGGCTGCCAGAGTGATGTCTGACTGCCAGCTTATGCCAAATCCCCTGGGGAGCAGGCCTAAGCCAGCACGTGGTCATCCCCTGAGGGGTCCGAGACTGCAAGAGGGCACAGGCCGGGCTGAGGGATCCCCCTCCCCACCGAGTGCACAAATTTTTGTGCACCAGACCTCTAGTATGTATATATATAGTTTTTTAAATTGGGGCAGTGCACCTTGTCCCCAACCAGTGAGTGATAAACGCACCCACCGCCCCACAGAGGTGGCAGCCAGGGCACTGCCGACCCCTTGGCAGGCGTCTGCTCCCCAAGGGCCCTCTGCACACAGCCACCCGGGGGCACCGTGCCCTCAGCGTGATGTCCACGCGGCCCCGCTCCTGTGGCGGCACCAGGGGCGGCGGGCACCAGGCGTCAGGCTGGGCAGCCCTTCCTGGGAGCTGATGTGAAGGGGAGGTGGGCCCAGGAGGGCTTGTATTGAGTTACCTATTCTTGGCTTTTAAAAAAGAGGGCTACTTGCAATGCTGAGCACTCAGGGGGTTACAACACAAAATGATTTTGAAGTTTAATTTAAAGTCGCCTCCTGGCTGCGTGGGTTTCCACTTCGCTTCATCTGATGCTAAAGCAGCTCCAACGGCTGTGGGCACGCGGCTCAGCCCTTAATTTCCTGCCCTTCACGCTCTGCGGCCCCCATGGGGGTACCCCTCAGGCCCACGGCCACATTTTTAAACTCTTGGTGGCACCTCTGGCCTGACACCAGCACAGCATCTCATGGGTGTTTCCTGGGCCAACTTTCCCCTCGTTACCACAGTAACGGCTCTCACTCCGTCCCCACCCGTGACACCTGCAGATGCCCCTTCGAGGGCGGGGCCGGCCTCAGCAGGACGAAGGCCGCCCTGGGGGAAGGGCAGCCCTTGGTGCCTCAGCCCTTGGTGCTCCTTGCGATGCTGGGAGCCGCCTTCGGCTGACGGATTCTGACGGAGACTTCTCTCCTGCCCGGTGCCCGGGGATCTCTCATGACTGAGAGCCATTTCTTAGGAAACATGGGCAGTGACATCTCAGACGTCTCTCGTAGCCACACGCTTGCCGACGTGTCTCCTCGGGCAGGAGGAACAAAGGGAAAAATAACCAAATGGGACATCAGACTAAAACCCTCTGCACAGCAAAAGGAGCCACAACAAAATGAAAAGGAGCCCACTGAATGGGAGGACATATTCGCAGTGACGCATCCGGTCAGGGTTTAGTTTCCAAAACACATCAAGAATGTACACAGCTCAACACCAAGAAGACAAACAATCCAGTTACAGAATGGGCAGGAGGCCTGCATAGACCCGTCTCCAAAGAGGACATACAGACGGCCAAGGGGCACCGATCATCACAGAGATGAAAATTAAACCACAATGAGGCATCACCTCACCCCTGTCAGAACGGCTGCCATTAACAAATCAATAAAGGCACAATGCAGGCAGGGATGTGGGGAAAAGGGAGCCCGTGTGCACTGCTGGTGGGAATGCAAGGCTGGTGCAGCCTCTGTGGAAAAACAGTGTGGAGTTTCCTCAAATAGTTAAATATGGTGCCCTGACCGGTTTGGCTCAGTGGATAGAGCGTAGGCCTGTGGACTGAAGGGTCCCAGGTTCAATTCTGGTCAAGGGCATGTACCTTGGTTGCGGGCACATCCCCAGTGGGGGGTGTGCAGGAGGCAGCTGGTCGATGTTTCTAACTCTCTGTCCCTCTCCCTTCCTCTCTGTAAAAAATAAAATATTTATTTTAAAAAAAGTTAAGTATGGAACTGCCATTGGACCCAGTGATTCCACTTCTGGGAATTTATCTGAAAAACACGAAACACTGATTCCAAAGAATGTGTGCCCCTCAGGTCACAGCAGCACCGTTCACAACAGCGAAGATCTGGAAACAGCCCCAGTGCCACCAGTAGACGCGTGGACAAGCGGTGGGACAGTCACGCCGTGGGATACCAGGCGGCTGCATCGTAACAGCCAGTAGGCAGAGCGTATAGCGCTCGTCACGACTTTTTAACTTATTTAATCCTCAAACAACCCCGGCAAAGGCGCCATTGCTCCACTGTCAGGTTATTAACCTGATATTCAAATGAAGATGCTACCACGAAGGGCAGTTAAGTCACTCGCCCCAAATCACATGACAAATTGATTATTAAACCGAAACGTGGACACGTTCTCCCCAGGATCCTGGGAAAGTCGTAGACATCCACAGGCAGGACAGGGTGAGACTGTCTAAAATCAACCGTGAACAGGTTTAGAGTCAATTCTGAAAAGGGAGGAAGAACCAAAACTGGTTTTTAACTTTAAAAAGGAGAAAGGGGAGGGGGCGGGACTCACCTCTCAGGTGTGCAAGGTGTTTTCAGGCTCAGGGTTCCAGGGGGGAGAGCAGGACGCTGCTGCCGTGGACGCTGCCACCACGCGGCCACTGTGGGGGTTATAGCTGCTTTAAACCCTCATTTCAAAGACCTCCTCCCAGCGCCTCAAAAATAAACATTACCTGTGAAAACTCTCAAATCCAGAGATCCAGTCCTGGGACCTTTCCTCATCCAATCAAACGATCCTCCTCCTAGGGGTTAAGATGCATTTGGAGGGGACACAGCTCGGGCCAAAGCATCCGTCTGAGCAAACACAGGGTTGGTCCATGAGAAGCACTAGCCATTCTCTGTCCTGAGAGGAAAGGGTAGAGACCAACCCTAAGGCACCTGCACCTCCTTCTCACTCCTGCCTGTCTCTCATCCCCAACCAAGGTGCCCCAAGTCACCAATCATCGAGAGCTGCACATTTAAACCACAACGAGGTGTCACCTCACACCTGTCAGAACGGCTGCCATCAACAAATCAACAAACGACAAGTGCTGGCGAGGACTGCAGGAAAAGGGAGCCCTCATGCACTGCTGGTGGGAAGGCAGACGGATGCAGCCACTGTGGAGAACGGTATAGAGTTTCCTCAAGAAATTAAATATGGCCCTGACTAGTTTGGCTCAGTGGATAGAGCATCGGCCTGCGGACTGAAGGGCCCCAGGTTCGATTCCAGTCAAGGGCATGTACCTTGGTTGCGGGCACATCCCCAGTGGGGGGTGTGCAGGAGGCAGCTGATAGATGTTCCTCTCTCATCGATGTTTCTAACTCTACCCCGCTCCCTTCCTCTCTGTAAAAAATCAATAAAATATATTTTTTAAGAAAAGAAATTAAATATGGACTTGACCCAGTGATTCTAGGACTATATCCTAAGGAACCAATCAGAAAGCCTATATGGAACCTTATGCCCATAGCAGCACAATTCACAATCGCTAAGATCTGGAAACAGCCCAAGTGCCCATCAGCAGACGAGTGGATAGAAAGGCTGTCTAGTAACTTATCTCCCCCCTGAGCCAATACTCACCACCCCACCTTTAATACCAGTGTCAACAGTCTCCTATCAGTAAAAAACAAACAATAGGCAACCTTAGTTTGATGAGTTTAATAAGAGACTCATCGTTTTAAACTCATGATTTTACTACAAACTCCTGACCTTGTCAAGAATCATAATCCATTGTTTGCCTTTTTCTTGAAGGTTTGAAAAGTGAACAATGACAAGAGGCCTTTCAGTTCCATTGTTTGTGGGCAAAATCCTGACAGAAAATGTTGGTTAGAATTAGTTGCCACGGAGGCTGTGAAGGTCCTAGCTTGGCGTGGATGACATTTCAGAGTGAATTCTCACCTGCTGGGAAGGGAGCAGGGAGCTTTAACGGCCTCTGTCAGTCTAATTCTAGCCAACATTATTGTGTCCACGTCACATACAAGTTTGTTTTTTTCTTAAGAATCAAAATGTGCGACCGAAAGTATAAGAGCAACTGAATACAAATGCAAGCTGTCCGGGAAAACATGCCTCCTGGTCAGACGCTGCCAGGAATCCACGGGATCTTGCCACGCCTCACGGGCGACTTCTGTCGCAGAGTAGTTCTGGTTATGCATCCGTTAGGGATGGCCCGGTCTATTCGGGGAGGTGATAAAAAATTAACCACTTCTCATTCCATTGGAAGAAAAAAATCAGTTAAACCCTTTAACATACATGACTGAAAAGACTTAGAAGCAAATTAGTGCTATATCCCCATGTCATTCATTTGCAAGTATATTCCACCTTGTGGGGGATATGTTTATTTCACTTAATGAAACAGCCAATGACGATTCGGAACTGCTTATAACCAAAAAGCAGCCATTTGGGATTAAGGAAGAATCCTGTTCAGAAGAGTAGGGAAAACACCCAAACACAGGAACTCAGAGGCCTTGACAACTGATCTTAACCCCAACACATAGGGCCCGGGGGAGAGGCTCGGGGCACAGAGCTGGCTCACGTCCTGTCCTCCCGTAGGCCCCTCAGTCTTTCCCCGGTCGGAGGGCAGGAATGAAAACGTGGCCAACACCCTCTCGTGCAGATAAAGGAGAAGCCAGGCCAGCCTGGCCGGTCCTGCGTCTCTCAGGCTCAGTCCAGAGTGAGATGTGAAGTGTTTGATAGACCGCGAGCAGCGTGCCCCTGCCGCGGGCGGGCGGCGTGAGTGAGTGGAGGCCAGGAGTGAAAGGGCAGGTCGAAGCGACCCGTGGAATGAGCGGAGCCTGGGCTCCCTGCACACTGCATTTCTGATGATGGGTTTCGCTAGTGGTTCTCAACCTTCCCAATGCCGCGACCCTTTAATACAGTTCTTCACGTTGTGGTGACCCCCAGCCATAATTCTCGTTGCTACTTCATCACTATAATGTTGCTACTGTTATGAATCATAATATAAATATCTGATATGCAGGATGTATTTTCAGGGGTCGCGACCCACAGGTTGAGAACCGCTGCTAGACAATCGCCAAACTCCCTGAAGCTGAATCACAGGACAGAGCGCCGGCTCCCGTTTCGTGAGGGGCACACGGGGAGGAATGAACACGCGTGGGCTCCGGAAACAGTGGCTGGTGGTGACCCCGGAGGCTATACCTTCATCAACACACGCCCAGCGCCCCAGGAACCGAGGGGAATGGCAGGTCACCCTGTAACGCTGCCGACGCCATTGACGGCTGGGAGTTCCCAGCTACAAGCCACCAGCGTGAGGAAGACGGCAGAGCCGAGGTCCAGCCCGGACCAGCCCGGACCCGCCGCCGCCCGGCCAAGCAGCCCTTCCCTTCTCTACCAGGCCCCTCGTAAGGAATGGAAACCATTCAGAGTCCAGCCTCGCTCGGTTCTGTGTGACACACCCACCGACCGGGGCCTCAGGTGATTGACGCCCCACCACCCCGGGATGAGCTCGCAGGAGAAAACCAGGTGCGTGTAGAAAAAGGGCACTCCTTTCCTCTGCACGTCACAGCTGGGGAGGGAGCTAAGTGTGCAGATGTCCACGTGAAAGCTCTTAAAAAACTGACCGACAAGCTGACTTCAGGCATTGGCAGCCGTGCGCGCTCCCTGCTCGTGTTCATGTCATTCCTCTCCAAGCGGCAGCAAAGACCGTTTCTAGAGCCCCACTCCCCATCTGCTCTGCGGCCCACGCAACCAGACGTCGGGAAGCTGCACGGCCGTCCATCCGTAGGAGGGCCCTTCCTCTCCACTCACAGGGCTTCACCGACATTCACGACACAGCGCACACCCGGAGTTTGCCAGCCTTGCTGGTGCCCTCAGCGCGCTTCTCTGCGTCCTGCCTCTGGTGTCTTCATCCCATTAGAGCTCCATTTCCCCCAAACCCTTGGGATGCTCTCCAGCTGCCAAATTCACTCTTTCAAACATTTCTGGGGGGAAATCTCATCTTCAGAAATAACCACCTCAAAGCGACTCATTTCATTGTCCGGGCCTTTTGCAATTAAAAGGCCTTTTCGTTTCAGTCGTGAATCTGAATGTATTGGTCTCGAGTCTCAGCTTTTAAGTTAAGGGCCACCCTTTCCCGGTGACATTTCAGTGCTGGAGAGAGGCTGCACCGAGACACTTCTTATTAAAAAGGAAAT